AAAAGTAGCCTATTGTCCTTAACAGCAGGGAGTGGGCCCTAAATGTGGTGGGACCAGAGAGTAGTCTGGCAACTGACTGCCTTCAGGGAGGTAACTTGACAATCATTTACCATTAGCTGCCAGCAGTGTCCTAAGTCTAGCGTGTATTGGGGGGAGATGACTTGGGAAAAACCTTTGTTTCCCACACCCCACCAACCCCTCCTCAGAGAAAGATGAGGCTTTACTGCTCCGATCCCATGAAAGAGTTACAGCCTTGGAAAAACTCGGGAGCAGCCCTACTTTGTTCTGTAGGGTCACCGAGTCAGAGTCAACTTGAGAGCAGGGAGCTTTTTAGTGGGTTTAGTGCAAGAAAAAGCTTGAAGCTTTACTTAAAAATTGCACATACAGCAAAGTGAAGGTGGTTTTGGTGAATTTTTTGAGGATTTGGTTCAGCTGTTTCAAAGTGAGGTCAAATTTACATAACATAGGGTAAGTAGGACTTGTTATTTAAGTTAAATGCTCTTAACTGTTAGAAACAACTAAATAAACAAATACTGAAAACAGACTTAAGTGACTCCAGTGCTGGGGGTAAACCCAAGAGACTCGGCAGCAACACAAAGACTTTGTACACCAGTGTCCCAATAGCCGGAAGATGGGAAGAGCCTAAATTCCCGTCAGTGGGTGAATGGAGAAACAAAATGTGGTATACAAATACAATTGGGTACTACACAATTAGTAAGAGAATGAAGGCTTGATACATGTTACAACAGATTTGGCTTGAAGATTGTGCTGAGTTAAATAAGTAAATCACAAAAGGACAAAGTATGACCTCACTTATATAAAAGAGGCAAATGTATAAAGAAATTGTTCCTCGGGGGAAAAAATTGTTTCTGGTTGCCAAGGAGGGGAGGGAGGACATAACTGCTTATGGAGCAATGATATAAATTTCTGGCAATGGCAAATCCATGTTTTAAGGGTGAGTGTTGCACAGCTGATTAATAAGTTGTACATTTGTAAAAATTATTCCGGTCAATGAGTTATACCTGTCAGTTGAACTGGCCAAAATTGTGTAATAGATGCATATTTACAACAAAGAAAAACAGCTGAGGTTGCTTATGTGCAAGCAAGCACCTCATGTGTTTTAGAGGTTGAAGGTCAGAATCATGGTTTCATGGGACATCTTAGCTAAGTGGTGCTTCAGTTTGTTTGTTGCATGGTGCCAGGGGTCTCAAAAGCTTCCAAGTGGCCAAGGTACATGAACTACTTCTTTGTCATGAGACCACAAGGACTGCATGGTGCTTGATTGGATGGAAGAAAACAGAGAATTTCACATTCAATGAATCCAGACTTTCTGGAGCCATGGAAGCTACATGAACACCTGAAGCTATTACTGAGATAATCTTTAAACTGTAAACCCAAAATAGCCCCTGAAGTAATCTTAAACCAAATAGATTAGCTTAACTAATTAAGAATGTGTCTTGAGAATTGAGCTTTTAGTTCTGTCTATATTGGCTCAAAGGACAAAGGAGTTTATATAAATAGGGAACAATTCCGAAAAGATGAGAATGGCTACACAACTTGAATGTTAATGTCACCGAACTGTATGTATGGTTTGCTGTGAACATTCTCAACAAAAATAATTACTGAAGTCTGCCCACATACTTGACCTTAGACCTTGAAGTTATGCTGTCTTGCTGCTGATATTGCAGTTAACTTGTAAATACGCCATCAAGATTTAAAATCCATCTAATATACAGTACCTCTCACTTATTAACCATCTTGTTATACATTTACAGCACTATTTTAAAAAAATCAACCATCTGACTACTTTGTGTATCAACGAACAATGAGGTGAGTGTGAGGGTTAAAGTTGTCATCTTGGTTTTCAGTGGTTCATCAGTTAGGGAATGTAATTTGGAAATTAAAATGATGTGATCCTCCATTTTGCGATTGTTTCCGGTTAGCCTCTATTTTAACCTGGAAGGCTTTCAGGGCAATGACCTTTAACAAATCAAGGTCATGAAATTCTGTGGCTTTAGAAGTTGACTTTTGGTTTAATATTCTGGATACCTGCTCTTACAATTGTGTGATAAAAAGATCAAAAGGGGGTTGGGGAGAAGACTTGAAACATCAGTTCTAACCTTTGTCAGCTTCTGTTGTGGGCAACTGTATCATGATCTATTAATAAAGGAGTCATGCCAGCTGCCCCTTCCCCCAGAATTCACTTTAAAGGACAGCACTGAAGCTACAGTTCAGGGAGAGGGACGTGTGTGATCAGAGCACACAGGAGCCAAAAAGGGGGAGGGAGAGAATGTGGAGCACATCCTGGCCCACCAAGTCCTGAGGACAATATTCCTGCTCAGAGCAGCCAATGCACAGGGCTTGCCCCACCATAAGACGTAACGTCCCGTCCCTCATTGACCCATAGTGCTACAGGGGACAACAATGGAGACATTGTGGGAATTGTGCCTAATCTGACACTACCACACCAAGGAGAAACACTAAGGGGGTGTAACAGAACAGCAAGGGAAGCAGAGCAATGAAGTCCCCGGGGAATACAAAAAATAGACTGTGGGGCCAGGGCATGGCACCCATCAGACTTGACTGAAAAACACTCATAAAGGTCAACAAACAGACCTTGAGTTATTTATAGGCTTTTCTTTTTTGTGTGTTGTTTTCTTTTGTTGCTTTGCTTTGGTCTCTTGTTTTGTGCATATTATTTAAGCATATCTATCTAGATAAGATAGGCGGGATAAACAATCTGGAAGAGAAAACAATGAACCGACAGTTGGGGGGGGCATGGGAGGGGGCGGCGGCAAGGAAGTGCTTGTTAACAAACCCAGGGACAAGGGAACAACAAGTGATCTAAAATCAATGGCGAAGGTCTAGGAGGCCTGGCAAGGCTTGATGAATGGCAATGTAACTGAGAGGAATTATAGAAACCCAATTGAAGGCTGAACATGATAGTGGGGCAGGAGGAAAGTAAAAGGAAACAGAGAAAAGAACTAGGAGGCAAAGGGCATTTATAGAGGTCTAAATATAGGCATGTACACATGTAAATATACTTACATATTTCAATGGGGAAGTAGATTTACATATATGTATAGGTTTAGTATTAAGCTAGATGGACAGTGGGCCTCTACTCAAGTACTCCTTCAATGCAGGAACACTTTGTTCTATAAACCTGGCATTCCATGATGCTCACCTTCCCAAAAGGATCGCTGAAGACAAAGTGGATGCATAAGCAAATGTGGTGAAGAAAGTTGATGGTGCCCAGCTATCAAAAGATACAACATCTGGGTTCTTAAAGGCTTGAAGAAGCAACAAAGCTCACATGGAAGGAGCATACCAGCCTGTGTGATCCCAAGGGATCAATGGGATTGGCTATCAGGCATCAAAGACCCAGAACAAAGAGTCATATAATTGTGAATGAGGAGTGCAGAGTGGAAACCCAAAGCCCATCTGTAGACAATTGGACATCCCCTTATAGAAGGGTCACAAGGAAGAAACGAGCCAGTCAGGGTGCAGTATAGTACTGATGAAACACATAACTTTCATCTAGTTCTTTAATGCTACCACCATCCCCAACTATCATGACCCCAATTCTACCTTACAAATCTGGCTAGACCAGAACATGTACACTGGCACAGATAAGAGCTGGAAACACACGGAATCCAGGACAGATAAACCCCTCAGGACCGATATTGAGAGTAGCCATACAAGGGGGGAGAGGGGGAGGTGGGGGGAGAAAGCGGACACCAATCACAATCATCTACATATAACCCCCGCTAGGGGGATGGACAACAAAAATAGTAAAGGGAGACATGGAGTCGGTCAGTGTAAGACATGAAAACATAAATTATCAAGGGTTGATGAGGGAGGGTGGAGGTGGGGGGAAAAATGAGAAGCTGATACCAACGGCTAAAGTAGAGGAAAATGTTCTGAAAATGATGGCAACAAATGTACAAATGTGCTTGAATTTTACAAGCCCCAATAAACTGATTTAAAAAAAAAGTCATGCAAAGTGTCAACAAGGGAACCAAATCTGAAGTTTGAATCCAGGAGGAATGCCCTTGAAGCCGTTCCAGTATAGGGGATACGACCAGTCTGGAGAAGACAGGGCTACCAGACAAACATATATGACTGTAGCCCAAGCAAATGCTTTCCCTGCCTTCTCTTTTAAATATTTTTGCTTCAGTACCTGTCACTTGACTATCAGGACCATTTAACCAACAGTATGTGTGTGTGTATATATATATATAATTTAAATAATTTTATCGGGGGCTCATACAACTCTTATCACAACCCATACATACATCAATTGTATGAAGCACATTTGTACATTTGTTACCCTCATCCTCAAAACATTTGCTCCCCATGTCAGACCCTGGCATCAGCTTACTTTTCCCCCTCCTTTGCTGCCAGCCCCTCCCTTGTGAACCCACTTTTCTGTTGTCCGTCCCCCAGGGAGGTTATATGTAGATCCCTGTTAATTGGTTCCCCCTTTCTAACCCACCCTCCCGGTATCACCACACACCACTGGTCCTGAAGGGATCATCTGTCCTGGATTCCCTGTGTTTCCAGTTCCTGTCTGTACCAGTGTACATGCTCTGGTGTAGCCAGATTTGTAAGGTAGAATTGGGATCATGATAGTGCGGGGGGCGGGGCAGCATTTAGGAGCTGGAGAAAAGTTGTATGTTGGTAATCGTTGCTACACTGTACCCTGACTAGCTCATCTCCTCCCTGTGACCCTCCCCTTCCATAAGGGGATGTCCAGTTGCCTACAGATGGGCTTTGGGTCTCCACTCCCCCTCATTCACAATATGATTTTTTCTTCTTGGATGCCTGATACCTGATCCCTTCGAAACCTCGTGATCACACAGGCTGGTGTGCTTCTTCCTTGTGGGCGTTGTTGCTTCTCAGCTAGATGGCCACTTATTTGCCTTCAAGCCTTTAAGATCCCAGATACTACCAACAGTATTTTTTTAAGTTCACGATGCTAATTATGCAAATACATGATAGAACAAGTGGAGGCAGATTTTATTTTCAATTCAAGGATTACTGATTGGACTTGGGGGGATGGGGAAACAGATTGATTATGACTGTGGTGGAGGGATCATACAAAATTTACTTAGTAAAGTTTTAGATGACCAGTGACTTTGTCAATTAGGTCTGCTGGTCCTGGCCCAATTCCTAGGACAGTCCGAGAGCCTGGTTCAATCTGAGTACGTCCAGCATCTTGAATTAAACTCACAGTTAATCCTAGCATTTTGGCATGGGTCAACAGTTCAATCAGGGTTTCTTCATCAGGGGCTTTGACCACTACTTTGGGCTGGCCGCAGTATTCCCATTCTTTGAGTAATTCAGGGTTTCTTCTTTGAATTTGCTTGTAGGCAGAAACTGCAGCATGAGAGCACTGGGCAGCTACTTTCCCCTTTCCCATCTTTAAGTCATTTCGAACCACAAGAATCATTTTGTATTCTCCACTCTCTCCTAAGATGCTGGCTTCAGTTCTGGTCTCTTTGTCTGTCTCTCTCACGGAGCTTTTGGGAATCATTCCAAAGGGTACTCGGAGGCACCAGCCCAGACACATGCCACAGGCAACTCCGACAGCCCAGCCGAGTGTGCCAGGGTGAGCCAAGTAATCCATTACCAACAACTTGGAGAGCATCTTAAAGGAAAGAAAGAAGGTGTAAGTTAAAAAGAAGACTTGTCAGATAAATGCTGACAGTATATCACCAACAAGCAAAACCTGTCATTTTGCATTTTCATGTGAGAAAATTCTTGGATTCTACAGTCCCTGGTCGCCTCAGTATTCCCTACATTTTTGAGGGGAGAGGAAATATTTTATCAAGATTTTTAAAGGATAAAGAGGAATCAAAAGAACTTAGCCCTGTCTGCAAGTCGGTGCTGACAGCTGTGTTGTAATGCACTTATTCTTGGGGACAGTGTGGAGCTTCCAGAGAAGGGTCCAGTGGTCACAAAAATGGGACTGAGGTGAACTGTGCTAATAGCATTTACTGGACAGGATAGTACAAGGTTTGCATGATGAAAAGTTGTCTCATTAAGCAATATTGTAGATGAAAAACTAAATACTTAAGAGTAGACCCCACTCCATTCCATACATGTGAACAATTTATTTCTTGCATGGTTTTAGAATTGTTGCATTTTCCAGAAATGTAACTACCATGTAAAATAAGGGAAGATAAATTTGCTGTTATAATTGTTATGCCAATCTCCACAGATTTATAGAAATGATAAAAGGCACTAACAATGAGAAGCAAAAAAAACCCCAGTATTTTTGCCAAGTCTTACAGAACACAAGTGCCTCACTATGTTTATACTGAGACACTTGTGCCTCATTTATAGTACAGGTAAGTGGAGCCCTTGAGAAGGCACGGTGGCCCAGGCAACACGTACTGGGTGATGCTTCATCCTGTTGCACATGGGATCTCAACAGACTCAACAGCACCTAACAGTTAATACTCATGTGGCAGGCATACCCTTGTTAGGCTGACAATATAGTGAACAAGGCAGTTCACTGACTGGTGTTCACAAAAAGGGAAGCAAAAATGCAACTATAAGGAAGGTGAATGTTATGAAAAGATGCTTTTGGTATATATGGTGTACATAAGAAAGGGCTTTAACTGGTTTATGTGGTCAAGGAAAGCCTGTGTGAATATGACTAATTTCCAAACCATGAAGATAATACATCTCTTTATTTTCCCCACTTTATGCAGACACTCCCAAGCAAACTGATAGCCAGAATAAATTCTGACTCATAGTGATCCCACGGGACAGGGTAGAACTGCCCCCATGGGTTTCCAAGGCCCTTATGTTTACAAGAGTGCAAAGCCTCTCATCTTGCCCCCAAAGATCAGCTAGTGTTTTTGAACTGCTGGCCTTGGGATTAGCAGCCCAATGCATTACCATTAAACCACCAGGCCTCCTTATTTCAACTTATAACAACCGTTTAAGACCGTGAACTATTCCAAAGGGGCTTCCCAAAGCTAAAAATTTGACTGAAGCAGATTGCTACATCTTTCTCCCACAGAACAGCTGGGAGTTTGAGCCATTGGCCTTTCAGCAGCTAAGCACTTAACCACAGTGCTACTACACACGTGGCATTTATCCCTAACTACTAGAGTGGGCTTCCATAGTTAGGATCGGTCTTTCTGGAGTCTGCTAACTAGACCAACACTAGCCTATCTGCTAGCTCTCACTACCCATATGTGTTTATTTGCTAGAATAACAGAACTCAAAAAAGATAACTACAGAGAGTTACCATTTATTATAACCGAAAGGAAAATTTCAGGCAAGGTCTAGAAGTCCTGGCACCAAGAGGCTTCCAGTGTCCATTGTCCCTAGGGAACTGTGGCACCCTCTCAATGCATGCAACTTCTCATCAATCCATGAGGCCTCAAGAGAGTGTTATGAGGTCCTGGACTTCCAAAGGATGCGTACTTTGGGCCTCACTGCAGTAACTTAATCTAATCAACGAATTCTCTGCCATAGCACCCCCAACCATTACTGATGCTAGCTGCCAAGTACAGGGCCTCTGGAGCCCACACTTTACAGCAATTTTAGAAAACAGTCATCTCGATTGCTTAGGCTCTCTTCCAAACCAAGCGTCAAAGGGCCACACCAAGTGTTTCACGCCCTCGAGAGAATAGTATTTAAATTGCAATAAAGGTTGAGTAAGATGTGAAGACAGAAGGAAGACAAATTCGACTGGGGGCGAGAAAAAACCAAGTGGGAAAATGATGGAAAAGAGAATAATTAGCCATGTTAGTGGGGTAGTGTGTTATGCGTTGGCCTGCCTTCGAAACCAAGTGCTCCGAGGGAGAAAGGGGAGGGTTCCTACTCCAGTTGGGCTTTACAGTCACGGAAACCCGGGGGGGGGGGGGGGCAGTTCTACTCCGTCCTACCGACTGGCTACGAGTTAGTTTTGAGTTAGTCTTTAGTACGCATGCCCAACAGGTGGAATGGCTACAGTGGCAAGGATACACGACGTCAAATTTTTCTATTCGATTCTTGGAAATCGATTCATCTTTGGAGAAATGTACTGGTTAAAACTGATTCAACAGCAGTGTGGGGCCTGTCCCATAGTCTCATAATTGGACGGACCACATCGATGCTGCCTAACTGGAGGCTTTGCCAGAGAAATACACACTTTGAAACCTCCTGCAGCAGCTTGACCGTCTTTAAAAAGAAAACCAAAAAAAAGCTAACAAGGTAGAAGGAGAGGGCTCCTGCGACTGGATTACCAAAGGAGTCGATAGGGAGGGGCGGTATGCAATGAGAGGAAACGTTTCCAAATGGAAAGAGAATGGAGCGATATCCCACCCCTCCGCGAAGTGACAAACTGATTTACCTAGATTCCCGCTCTCCTCACTCGCGCCTTCCCTTCTCTGCTTCAGAGCGGCGAACACGTTCTCCCCACGCAAGCTACTACTTCTGGGGTGTCCGCATAATCACTTCCGGAGCAAAAACTAAGAGGTCGTGGTTGTTTTTTTTTTCCCCTCGCCCCGCCCACAGGCTACAAATCGAGAGCCGAACTGAAATCCCGCGAGGATAGGCCGAGGTTGCCGAAAGGAGGGGGAACGTTTCTCCGAGGGAGGAAGTCTCCGGGATAGGAACCGGACCGGAAGTGACGCCCACGAGTTCCGGTTGCTGGAGCGCAGCGGCCGGTGTGAGAATCGGTGTGGAGCGGCTGCTGGGATCCGGAGATCCCGAGAAGCCGGCGTCCGAGCGGGTGAGTAAGCGAGCGTGGGGAGTCGGGCAGCGCCGCCTCAGCCCGTCCTCAGAGCCTGACGCCCGGACACGGTGCAGAGCGAGGGCGTCCGTGACTTCGACTGCCCCGAGCGAGGTGTCTTCGGGAGCTGCTGACTGTCATTCGCACTCCGCCGGCCAGTAGCCAGGTTGTGTCGGACACCTGCCCACAGTGGGCCGGTGAGACAATGGAGCAGCCACTTGGTTCCTGACTGTGTTGTCGCCGCTCTGCGGACTGGGGAACCGTTCGAGGCTTCGGCAGTGAGCGCAGCCCCGGTGCCTCCCGCGGGGTGCGCCACCTGAGCGTAGGGGGCTCCTGTGTGGATGCTGCAGCTGTTTCTGAGGGGCTGTCAGTCTGGCGTGCTGTCTTGCCCTGGGCAGCCACTGGCGTGCGGTGATCGATGGGTCGGTTCCTACACAGCCCTCGGACGTGCGGTCAAGGGACTGGGGCCTGGGCTCTGCAGTGCCTTTGCAGAGGACCTCCTGAGAGTGGATCTAACACTGCTCTCTCTACCTTTGTCAGTTCCCTGACTCCTGTACTTGTATTTCATTACAGTGGAGGCATTTGCAGTAAAAAATGAAGAGCGATTTATCTCTCAAACCCCAGAAGCCAGACGTGGTACTCGCACGCAGTTACATTGCCTATGACCTCCAGTAGATTTTACACACGTATCTTTTGGTTTCTTGCAACTTCGCGCAAAAAAATCTCCTAAGGTGTAGACTGGCGCTGCGTACCCGCATTAGCTTCTTACTGTAACTTTTAACGTATTTCATCTCTTTGAGGCTTGTCAGGTTTTGTGAACAAGTTGCACTGTGCTATATAGACAAATGTATATGTACTAATAGTTTTGTAATTATAAAGACGTGAGTGCTACAGCTGCTAGTACCTATTACTTGTAGCATCGATTTTAGTTGTGTATTCTAACCAAAGATCAACTCATAAACGACCCTTTGAGCCAGGTGATGGTGGTCTCGAACTGCTGATCTTGCGGTTAGCAGGGCAATGCGTAACCTACTACATGCCAGGAAGAGGGGTGGTGATACATAGGTAAATGTGACATTGGTATGAAATGACAAAATAGTCATCTTTTATATTTACTTTCAGTTTTCTTGGGTTGTTTTAAGACAAGCTTTTTAATTTGAGAAAAATCTACTTGGGTTACAGCAGATTTATCATAGTTTAATATTGATGATTCACTTTTCACTAGAAAATACACGTGTAACTATGCTTCAGGAATCCTGTAATAAGTGGTTTAATGTCTTTTAGTAGTTTGCCTATAAATAGTTTAATAAGCTTGTTTAACTTGCATGTTTTATTTTTGAGGTAGAATCTTTTTTACACTTATCTTTGACAAGATTTTTGAGAAGTATAGTTATAAAAATTAGATGTTATCAAAAGGCTAACATACAGTAACATATAGTAAATTTGCTAGTTGATTTTCTAGCTGTCAGACCTGCTTTTATTTTCTTCTTTCCAAATCAGTTGTACAAATATCTCCAACTTTTCCAACTTCTTTGTGCCTTTACTTTGAATTATTACTTTTGATGATCACAAAGATCATTAAACTTTAGATCAGAAGGGCTGAATTCAAGTTTGAGCTCTAACTCTTAACATTATGAGCTGGTCTAGTTTCTGTTGATAAAAAAATATCTGCTCCCCTTTTATATAGGATTGTCACAAGGACTAAGTCAAGTGAAATCACTTAGTCCAAAGTTCTGTTACTTTACATCACTTACAAATTTTATTTTATGTGAAGTGTCTTATCTGAAAATTCCATCATAATTTTCCAAGATGATCTTTGCCCTAATTTACAATAAAGTAAAAGCTAGCCAAGAATAATGTGATGCGGTGATCCATTGACTTAATTACTTTAGTTATTAGTAGTGGCTACAAAATGAGTAAAGGTTTGCATTTGGGAGTTTAAATCTTAGTGCTCTTGATATGTACTGTCAATTACGAACTTTAAGTGTACAGGAAAGTGAAGTATTACAGTTGGCCCGAGTTGTTGAGTTGATGTTGAGTCGTGCCCCAGCAGTATCAGAGTAGAATGGTGTTCTAGGCTTTTCAATGGCTGGGCTTCCAGAAGTGAGTCAGCAGGACTTCGTTTCAGAGACATCTCTAGGTGGATTCAAACTGCCAACTTTTGGGATTAGTGCTTTTACCATTTTATCACCCAGGGACTCCTACTTACTAATCACAAGTAAGGAAGACCATATGGTATCAGAATTCTTCTGAAACCAATATTTAGAATTTGAAGGACTTTTTGTGAGCCATATGGTCAGATTCTTATTTAACAAAAGAGAAATTGTGTCCTGAGTATGACCATCTTGGTTGAGCATGACTCATGACCAAAAGGAAGTAATCATTGACTTGCCTGAGGCTCTATGGCTTAGGTAGTACCAGAACCTGAACTGGAACGAAGGTCCAGTGTTCTTTCTGTCCTGCTAAGATTATGTCTTGGCACCTTGGTATGTTTTGATAATGTTCCTGGTTTGTATGAAAATATTTTCTTGGATATTAACAGAGGTTTCATATGAAATAAATATTTTTTCTTTTGAGTTGGTTTAGTCTAGAAAATTCAATGATGAAAAACTGCTTGGCAAGATATGCAGTGAAATAGAATACGGCCAGAAAAAAAGAAAATTATTTATAGTCTTCAGAACATTTCCAAGTTCATGCTTCATTACTATCAAATATCAAGGTGTCTTCTTTCTGGCAAATAGAAAAGACAGGGATCTTTTAACATGTTTCTACTCTGTGAATGTTCTTACTGGAGAATAGGAGGAATCTGTTAATGCATTGCACCAGCTTTAGGTTAATTTAGTTTTTACCTGATTTAGGGGATAAAGACCCCAAATTCAAATATATTTTATAGAGAGATCCCTTTATTAAGTCTTATGCAAGACAAAGAGAAAAACAAAATCGAATCATCTAGATGAGGGAGATCATCAACATGATACCATAATGGTGTTCAAAGGATTCTTGCCCTACCTGCCTTGCTAATTAGAGAAGGTAGAAAACAAAATCACGATTGAGGTGGATCAGTTAGTTACAGTCTCAAATGGAACAGCAGAAGTGGGACAGGTGGGGAGGGAGCATTAGAATGGATTGGGATTGCATAACTGATCTTGGAGACAGTTTACCGTACATACTCGAGTATAAGCCGAGTTTACCAGCACATTTTAAATGCAGTTTTTGTGGTAAAATTAGGTGCCTTGCTGGATATTTGGGTTGGCTTATACTCGAGTATATATGGTAACCAAGGGAGGGGCACTATTCTAAAATATATTGATGTCTGGTGATTATACAATTCTTGATATGATTGAGTGATTGAACTATTGAATTATATGATGTGTAAATTACTTGCTAATAAAACTGTTGGGTGGGGGATGGAAGTGGGAAGGGACCATATTTGGGATACTTGGGTTAACGGGGTGGTTCTTGGGCCCTCTGACCATCTTGGTTGAGCATGACTCATGACCATGTTCTTCTGGTACCCCAGTTTCCACTATGGGCATACCCCGGAAAGTCCCTAGAGCAGTGGTTCTCTCTGCAGCTCCAGGAGAGGAACATTTCTGATAGGAGCATATGGGAGCAGATGAAGGGGGAGGAGGAGAGAATGGAGCACATCCTGGCCCACCAGGCCTTGAGGATGATGTTCCCGATTAGAGCAGCCAGTCCACAGAGAGGACCACATGGCTGGCCCCACTATGAGACCTGATGTCTCTCACTGACCCATAGCCCTATAGGAGACACAGTGTGGGAATTGTGCCTGATCTGACCCCACCACACCGAGGCCAAACACTAAGGGGGTGCAACAGAACAGCAAGGGAACCGAGCAGCAAGGTCCCCAGGGAATGCTGAAGGTGGACTTTGGGGCCAGGGCATGGTGCTCCAACAGACTGGACTGGAAAACACTCCTAAAGGCCAACAAACAG